AATGTTGTCGATCATTGGCTTGTTATGGCGAACGTTTTACCCTTGAAAGCGGCCAAAACGATAAACATTGTTGTATCTAAGGCTGCCAGTGGAACAAAACAGGTAAACTGTTACGCTTCAGTTAGGTTGTGCACCTTACCATGTCTTAATGCATTTATTATTGTCAGATGGCTTTAATTCAGTTTACTGTCCGAACGGTCAACTACTGCTTACACGGCATTAGCCAGCTGAGCGACGTTGTCACATAGTCACTGATCGATGAATGAGGCCACAGTACCTCGTTAAGTTACTAAGATTATAAAAGCAAGAGTGGGAAAACATTTTGGTTATTTACTTTATTGTTCATCAGTAGACAAATCGGTTGTGATACGTTCTTTTCAATGATCTGTACTAATAAGGAGACGCTACCATACGTACGAAATTTTGCTTAAAGTTCGACTTCGCCCCATGGTGACCTGCGCGAAAAATAAGATATCGTCTATTTCATCTTATTCATTACAGTCAGTCGATGTTTCATTTCATCCAGACTAAGCTTGAAAATAGTAGCTCAATACATATGTTCACTCAATAGCCTTTTTAAGGCGAAAATACTCCCTTAACTTGCCGTGGAGCCAGTCCATTACCGCATATTCGATTGTTTTCATAGTGCTTTCTTTTGAATTGTTCGAATATAGAGTGGCTATTTGTGCACGCTTATGAACTTATTGTAACGGGACTCCTATTTCACTTATCTATTCTCTTGTATATTAATGTGTCCGGTGCAGAATGAATGTTACGAAATCTGCGTATTATTATTAGGCTTGTAAGAAGAGAAGCTGGGGCTCAATATGGCATTTGTCATGCATTTCAGCAGAAAAGGGAGTACCACACAAATTCAACGAACGGAGGCGATCATGTCCAAAAATTTTAGTAAAGACCAAAGATGTAATACATAATACTATCCAACGATTAAGGTTTTCGTTGGTTGGAGATTTTGAACTTAAACTTTACCAGAAATAAACACTACCTTTAAGCATATTGGAAAAGGACAACTGCGATATGAATGTTTTTTCAATGAGTTAATCACGTTCCCTTAGACACCGAAAACTTCTAGATTTGACGACAAAAACTAACTAATTATAAAACGAATTTGAATGTGTAACCACCATGGCAAATGCAATAATAAACTCAAACTTCCCTTTTTACAGGCCTAAGAACATTAGTGTATTCAGGAATTTGTTGAAGCCAACGCGATTAAACGGTACTCACATTAAAATTGTTATTAAGACCGTATCGTTCGAAAATCCGTACAACCGACGAAGAACGTTTCTAATCAGAACAAACGAAACCGATCATGTGACAGTCATGCCTGGAGAACTCGATCTATTGCCAAGAAAGGAAGGAAAATTCGTCTTATCCTTATTAAATATCGATTATTTTTTCGAAGCACTTCTGTTTATAAACAGCGACGCCAGAAACTGCGAAGCAATGTACACCGTGAAAGTTCAGAAGGAAGCATAGTATAACACATTTCGCAACCTGTGGAACTTTTTTTAACGAATTGAAAAACCTTTACAACTGCTTAAATTGTTACCGAAACATTTTTATTATTTCGTTACTGCTTAAAATAAAAGTTTTCTAAAACCGCCTGGATTATATTACTGCGGTTCTAGCGTATTGAGTCAAGTTAACATAGACATTCTCTCGGACTTCAATGTAAGATGTTTTAAATAATTTTACATAAACCCATAAACTTTGCCTGCAATACTGACGTTTCTCTTCATGTAATGATAAGATGTAGTCTGTAAAATACATTGGTATAGTTCATGTCAGACTATCTTTGTTTTACTTTAACGAGTGTTAATAAACGTTTTTAAAACCGACGAACTACGATCCCATTCGCAGAAACCAAACTGCCACAATACGAGAGGGCATAAAAACAGAAACGCTGAAATTAATTTTACTAAATATTAGTGTACTTGTTCCGTAGCATAAACATCAACGAAACAGTCAGCTGATTGAGTTTTACCTGCCTCAGCTGATCAGACAAGTTAGATAAACACGGACACTTAAAATACCTTTAATGTAAAATCGCTACCGAAAATTGTTACTGCTTTTAAGGAGTAAAATACGATATTGAAATCATTCAGTGATGTGCATTACATTCCACCACGAAGTCGCAGCACGAGATGTAAAGTGCTCTCTTTCTGAATATTGTAGTCTGACAAAGTGCGTCCGTCTTCCAGCTGTTTTCCTAAAAACAGTTACTCGTCAAACATTAACATTAACATTTTGCAACAAATAAACTAAACACAAACCAGCAAATATTAGTCGCTGTTGATCAGGTGGAATGCCCTCTTTGTCCTGAATCTTTGCCTTCACGTTTTCGATTGTGTCAGACGGCTCGACCTCCAATGTTATAGTCTTGCCAGTAAGAGTTTTAACGAATATTTGCATTCCACCACGAAGACGCAGAACGAGATGTAGAGTACTTTCTTTCTGGATGTTATAATCCGACAGAGTACGGCCGTCTTCCAGTTGTTTTCCTAATTTAAAATTTAACATTTTTTTAAAAAGGAATGCAAAAGTTGTTCCTTACCTGCAAAAATAAGTCTCTGTTGATCCGGAGGAATCCCTTCTTTATCCTGAATCTTCGCCTTAACATTTTCAATCGTGTCCGATGCTTCAACTTCCAAGGTAATTGTCTTGCCTGTAAGCGTCTTGACAAAAATTTGCATTCCTCCCCTTAGTCTAAGCACTAAATGAAGGGTGCTTTCCTTCTGAATGTTGTAATCAGAAAGAGTCCTGCCATCTTCCAACTGTTTCCCTAAAAAAGAAAACTTTGTACTCACAAGCGTTATTCCTAAAATGTCGTACCTGCAAATATTAAGCGCTGCTGATCGGGAGGGATTCCTTCTTTGTCTTGAATCTTGGCTTTCACGTTTTCAATGGTATCAGATGGCTCAACTTCAAGGGTAATCGTCTTGCCGGTCAGGGTTTTGACGAATATCTGCATGCCCCCACGAAGTCGCAGGACAAGATGTAACGTGCTCTCCTTCTGAATGTTATAATCAGACAACGTTCTGCCGTCTTCCAGCTGCTTTCCTATAATTTTAAAATATTTTCCAAAATAAAAATAAATACTAAAACAATAAGACAGTATCGCATACCAGCAAAAATAAGTCGTTGCTGATCAGGTGGAATTCCTTCTTTATCCTGAATCTTTGCTTTAACATTTTCAATGGTATCTGAAGGCTCGACTTCTAAAGTGATCGTTTTGCCTGTGAGGGTCTTTACGAAAATTTGCATGCCACCACGAAGTCGCAACACCAAATGCAAGGTACTTTCCTTTTGAATATTGTAGTCGGACAACGTACGCCCATCTTCCAGCTGTTTCCCTACAGTAACAAACTGGCCACTGACTAGCAGCAACAACAAAAAAAATTATTGCATACCAGCAAAGATTAGTCGTTGCTGATCTGGAGGAATTCCCTCTTTGTCTTGAATTTTGGCTTTGACATTTTCAATCGTATCTGATGGCTCTACCTCCAAAGTTATAGTCTTTCCTGTAAGGGTTTTGACAAAAATCTGCATGCCACCGCGGAGACGCAAAACCAAATGCAAGGTGCTCTCTTTCTGGATGTTGTAGTCAGAGAGTGTTCGACCATCTTCAAGCTGTTTGCCTGAAACATTGGAAGGAAGGTTCAAAAAAGGAGTCCAACAAAAGAACTTTACAATTTTGTACCTGCAAAAATCAAGCGCTGCTGGTCTGGTGGAATCCCTTCCTTATCTTGAATCTTAGCCTTAACATTCTCTATGGTATCAGAAGGTTCAACCTCCAAAGTAATCGTTTTGCCGGTAAGCGTCTTTACGAAAATCTGCATGCCTCCGCGCAGTCGCAATACAAGATGAAGGGTACTTTCTTTCTGAATATTGTAATCGGAAAGAGTTCGTCCATCCTCCAGCTGCTTTCCTAGAATCATTATTTTACATTTAATACAACAACAGGTATAAATACATACCTGCAAAGATTAATCTCTGCTGATCAGGTGGAATTCCTTCTTTATCCTGAATTTTTGCTTTTACGTTTTCGATCGTATCAGATGGCTCGACCTCCAAAGTTATTGTTTTACCCGTCAAGGTTTTGACGAAAATCTGCATTCCTCCTCTAAGTCGCAATACGAGATGAAGAGTACTTTCTTTTTGAATGTTGTAATCAGAGAGGGTTCGACCGTCTTCAAGCTGTTTTCCTACACAAACAAATTTTTATGATCAAAGCCTTTGTTTAATACAATTACTAAGTTTCTTAAATGCTCCTGTTTCAATTTTTATAAGTTTAGGAAGTAAAAAATAGTAGTCAATCACTGATTGGAACTATAAACAATATTCGTGTAAAGCAGGTTCGTAAATTCGGATTCTACGTCACGCCAAACTACGTGTACATGTCAAACGTTTAAAAAATCTGCACGAAGTCGACAGCTGACTAGTTTTTGGTCAGTGCCCCTCGAAAGTTTAAAGATTAGATCATAACCTGAGACATAACCATTGCGAAAATTTAAAAAACTGAAAATAAATAAAAAAAATTAAAGCAACGGTTTTCGACTGAAACGAAAATCAATCATGAACCGTAGCTGAAGCAAATCAGAAAAAACTACTTAATGTGAATAATGCAGTGCGCAGCTTGAGCAACAAACAATAAACAAGTTTGTTCTACATGGAATCTCGCGCATATCGACGCGGAACGGCCGTACAGCTTAAAACGAAGCGAACAGTCAATAGTGCATTTTTCCCTGATGCTCGGCTAATTGCAGAGTGAAAATCGTTGTTAAAAATTTGTAATATAAATCTACTATCGTTTTTCCTACGCTTGATGCCTCTCAAGGAAATATTTGTATCATTTTAACGATAAATATGAATCATAAAACATAAATGCAGCGATTGCACAACGGGAACCGCTAAATACTGATAGGGAGATTTAATCATCGTAACGCAGATCTGCCATGGGATTTTCGAAGCCAAAACGCTTTAGCAGCACAACGCTGGAGGAGCATGTAACTAACTCAGCACTGATTCTACACAACGGAAACACTCTCACCTATACGTACAAACAACTTGTAATGACTCATGCCAAACCAGTTTGATCGAATCGGACTTGTTTTTTCGTTCATCATCAGTTCGTAGCGCTTTCAACAGCCAGCTTACTGCCAGAAATTTAGCAAACACCCAGTTAAGTAAACACGGTTAAGTAAGTCACAAGACAGCATCTAACAGAGAAAAATCAATAACAGCAAAAACATCAATGTTACGAGTTCAAATAGGCGTCACTGTTGTTATCACTTTTGCAAGGTTGTCCACTTCAGCATGATTCGACTGATGGTAGTACAGCCTATCACCCAGGTGTTGAATTCAGTTGCCAGCTAAACTCTACGACCTTATGCATTTAATGAAACATATAGACGTGCTACTGACAACCCCAATTACCGTTCAAACGACATCAACTTAAAAATTATTAGTCAACAGCTGTTAATTCAGACACTGCAAGCGCCAGAATGCGTGAAGTAATTAAAGTTAAATTCCATCATAAAACCTGCTACATTCAAATTTCACTAATTCAAACCAGTAATGCAGAGATATGGGAATTGTATACCTGCAAATATCAAGCGCTGCTGATCCGGCGGAATACCCTCTTTGTCTTGAATTTTCGCCTTCACGTTCTCAATTGTATCAGAAGGTTCTACTTCCAATGTGATCGTTTTTCCAGTCAACGTTTTGACGAAGATTTGCATGATTACAAGACCGTTTTGAACAACAAACGACAACCTGTACTGACACACAATACAACGACAACTTATATTATGCACCGATGTGATTCAGCCGCCTACGCCGATTAGGCAATTCTTACAACGAATTTAGTTTACCTGCAGATCAGATAAACAATCTAAAATTTTACTTAATGAACACTCATACAGAGAACATCAATCTAATGATTCTGATCAAGAACATGATACTAGAGCCCACCGAATATCAAGGAATTTATAGAACAAAAATTATACTTGTAAATTGTTCTACTGAACACAATTTCACAAACAGCGCAACATAAACTAGCACTGTAGAATACGTAAAATTAATTCATTTTTTTAAAATTGCCGGGGGCACAAATTTAAGCGTTTAGCGCGTAATCGGTAGAAGTTTTAACGGGAGCGACGCAACGGCTTTAAACTACATTTCATGGATACTTGAGTGACCGAAAAACGGTTCTCCGTAATCATTCAGTTTATGATTCATCTTCCATCGTGGCTTGTTCTTTCCGGTCGCGGAGGCTGACGCGTCAGACAGAGCATCCAATGTTCCCGATCCTGTGCCAGAGTCTGAGTTTCGGCAATAGACAAATGGAGTCTGGAACAGACTCCTTCCATATATTTGCACCAGGTTAATCTTGGTCGTCCCCTGGGCCTTCAGCCGGTCGGATTTGCAAGGAACAGTTGCTTAGCCTTCCTTTCTGGAGGCATTCGCAGCACATGTCCAAGCCATCGCAGCTGTGACTAAATCTGGAAAAGCAAAAGCTGTATACCAAGTATCTTCCGGTTATCAGTATTCCTGGCCATGTCGAGACGCATCAGGCCAGCGACTCGTCTAAGTAAGCCCACTTCAGCAGCTTGTACCCGAGTTCGAAGCTTTTTAGTCATGGTCCACGACTCATGACCGTAGGTAAGCATGGAGATAAAGATCGACTTGAACACCGAGAGCTTCGTTTTCAGACTGATCGCTGTTTAGTCACAACTGGTCGAGTCAGTTCACACAAAACGCCACTGGCTATATCAGTTCGCCGGTCGATCTCTTCCTCCAATTTTTCATCACTAGTAAATACAATTCGGAGCTACTTTATGGTTTATATAAAGATTGCATTTGTGAGTGGACGATCAACTTCCGATCAGAAGCAGGAGTTGCATTGATCCCAGTCGTAAACCGTCCGAAAGATAGACCAAGCTTTTTCCCACCTTCCGCAACCCCACCAGTGAGATTGGCTGGAACCGTACGCTGCTTGAGTTTAAAGCGGGATGGATTCAGTTGTCAGATGGAGCAATGAAAATATTTATAAATCACGCGTGGAACAGCAGAGCACAGGCCCATTTCTTTAAATCTGATAGACTTGCATTGGCTGAGTATATTGAGAACGTCTTTGCTCGTCTATTCATTCTGTTTTGCTGGATTGGCGTTCGATGAAATCGTTCTTAACGATGCTGTTTTCCGCCGTTTAACCTTTATTTTCCATGCTTCATATTTGTATCCTGTTTGTGAGTTGTTGTCTAGTTTCTGTGATTTAGATGTAGCTACAGGTGAAACTCTGCCTTATCGCTCCTTCAACTACGGGATCCTTTTCTCAAGTGCATAACCATTAGCTTCCGTGGGGAACGTTCTCGTATCCGTTCATAGAGTTGTATCCTTTCACTGCGATTTCATTGTTATGGTATCAGTAATGACGAAATGTAATTGAAATATTGCAACATCTAGTAAGCAGTCAACTAGTAATTGATTCTATTCAGCTTCTGTTCTTTTAAATGTAACATAGAAGCAAATGAACTTCGCAAAGAATTAATATGGTGCGGTCCGTTGTCATCTCCAACTTCTGCATGGAACTTTGAACGCTAGATTTTGATTGCTCAACTGGACACCACGCAGCACGTTTTTTCATCCAAGCGCATTCGATGCCTGACCTTAAACTGTTTCATGTTTGCAGAATGCCGCAAACTCCGTCATCGAGTGATCAGGTTTCTTTAGGCTATCTTGTTTCTACCAATGACTGAATGCTCTTCATTCCAAAGCTCAAACACCGATTACCGCACAAACATAATTTTGCTTTGTATTGGACGCTAGCAATACGGCTTATCTACGTTGACTTCATAAACACTAGCTCCATCGTGAAAAATTCGCGAAATCGATTCCTTGCTGCACACAAGACAATTTACTATTTCACTCTTCTGCTTCGAAAGTTTTATCTTTACAACGATATCTATTATTGCATTATTAATTTTTTTTCGTCTTTGAAACTTTCGAAATTTGCTTCCCCTGAGCGATTTGCCGAGACTTATATTTAATAATTACTGAAAGACTCAGAGGGCTGAACAATGACCGTTTTTGACCACTAGACTTGCATGTTACATGTTTCATTTTTAAACAAGTCCTTCCATTTTATCAAGTAATTACGCAATTCATCAAATGCCGTCTATTTCTTCTTTGATACGCCCACAGTTCGGCCCTTTCTTCCTGTTGTCTTCGTATGCTGCCCTCTCACGCGTAGTCTAAATCAATAATTTACGCAAAACATCGCGAATCACAGGGCACATACCCCCAATAGTGACGAAGACCTCTGTGAGCACGGATCTTCTTCAACCGCTCCAAATCTTCTCGCAGTTTATTATCGAGATTGGTACTCAGCACCTAAAAGAAACTACCGTACTACAATAATTTATAAATTTAGCCAACCTGTGAATAACTGCCGTCGACGATGTCTTTCTGCCTATTCAAGAACCAATCAGGAATTTTGTATTCCCTCGGGTTTGTCATGACACTAACTAATTTCTCAACCTAGTAGCATGAACAAATCAAATGCAAAAAAATTAGAGCAAGAAAACCCACCTCTGCATCGCTCAATTCTCCTGCTCTCTTATTTATGTCGATATCAGCTTTTCTGCAGACAACGTGAGCAAATCGTCGGCCGATTCCCTACAATGAAAATTTTTCAGATAATTATGCAGAATAATATGTGATAATAGAAAGCAATTTAATAAAAAATTTACTTTAAAACACAGCAGGGCGATACGCGAGGAATAGGATTCGACTAGCAAGACGTGTGATTCAGCTGATATAAAAATTCATGATCACAAAACGACAAAACCTGCTGCTAGGGAAGCGCTATCAAAACAAATATCCCAGAGAGTAAAGCTATTTCGATATATGCGCTAAAGCAAATATTTGCGATTAAAGTTTTATAAGCCTACGTCTATAAGAAATGATCTCAGACGAATAAAAAATTAACCTCCTTACAAGGGGTCTGAAGGCCTGCATAATCACTTCAACTGCATAACTACATTATAAAACATTCATGTCAAGTCAAGCTCTTGGAACTGTTCTTCCGCCACATCGCAGCAAAAACGCACCCTGTCTGATGACAACACCATCGAGCATCATTTTACGGGAAAAAATAATAAGGTACATGCTATAGTTGTCACGTAGCTGTAGATACTGCAATTGGAAAAAAACATGACGCTTTGGGAAGAAAAGTGAAACTGAACTGGAGATAACACCGCAAAATTAGTTTAATAAGAGCAACGGTGGGTAAGTGGCCCGAATCAGAAAACAATATCTAATACTGGCATACGATCGGCTACAAAGATTAGTTTCATTTTGCTTTCTCTTAGCATTTTCTTCGACGATCCTGCATCTGCTGGCTCGCATGAACAGATAGATTTAACGGCAATGATGAGTGTATACGTAGAAGTTTAACCCTCTCGTCAGCTTATCATCCATCTCAAACATCGTAGTTCCTATGACCTGCAACGGTAGAAATGCTCTTATTCTAATGAAGGGATGATCAAGAGAAAGTTGGAAGGTGACAAAATTTTAATTTTTAATTTCAAAATTTTAAATGTTCAGTAAGAATGTAATGAAAAATCTGTAAGCGTAGGGATGCTGGTCATCCAAACTGATGGAAGATTATGGACATGATTTGCAAAACCTTTCCTGTCATGAAGCTCATACTGCGGCATTGATATCTCTATACCATAAACCATGGATGAAATTCGCTTACAATTCACTGATATGCAGATTATGCAATACTCAAGGCGATACCGCCAGGAAAGTTTAGCAGAAGGACCGATGATACTGGCCTTA